AAAGAAGAAATGAAAAAAATAGTATCCATTTTTGCATACAAGATGAAACTATGATTTTTAATTCATCATCCTTGCGATGGCATTCATTCAATTCGATTGCTATAATTTTGAGAGATTGCTTGATTCGTGCGCATGCAAAAATAAAAGCGCGTGAGATATTGCCCCTCAATAATAATTCAATATATGTGCATAACCATAATTATACATCGACATTGTATGATACGACACGTTTCAGGATCTTCTCTGAAGAAGAAAAAATATTGCAATTTAATTGGAAGGAAGTGGAGAAAAAAGTGGTCGTACAGATATCCAGGCGCAAAACATCAAATACATCACTTCGGATAGTGTAACGTATATGTCAAAAAAACTGAAATTAATTCGTTATAAATATCGGCATTTCATGGGTGATCCATACAAGAGACCGAGAGAACAAAAGAAAATACGGGCGGAACATCGGTATTGCTATGCATAAATATTTTTTATAATGTATAGACAAAAATGTGCGCTGCTTACGGCAACCAATTATGATTTGATAAATTAATTTTTTTCGCATTCTTGCGAGTGTACATATTTCTTCTTTTTTTCTTCTTCTGTTGAGTCTTTTCAATCTTCCGCTGTGATTTCCCTTCCCGATCGATCGCAAAATGAATGGTTTTCCGTACATTTTTCATTCGTACTTTTCACGAGTAGAAAATCGGGCTGGGCTGAAATGCTGAATTCAATTTAATTATTCGTACATCAGTTGTCACGAATGAGATCGATGAAAAAAAAAAGAACGGCGGAAGGACATTTTTGGTGCATCGACACTGCATTTTAATTGAAATTGCATCATTTCGAACACAAATAAATAGGAGAAAAAGCAGAGAAAATACGACGATTGGTCGATAATAATAGTTGCTGGTATATTCATCGCTGCGGCTCTTTTCTTAGCTCAAGTAAATTAAGGAATGGAAAGACATAGAACGGCATAGAGAACATACATTCCATGCGCATTTTTTTTGGTGTGTTTGTGCAATCGATTGAAACGGCAAAAAACATGTGTTGTGTGTGGTGTTCCTTTTCTTTCACCTCTCAAATTCGACATTTACGTCTTCCTTTTTTTGTGAATGTGCATCAAATCGCCTGTTCGCACTTAAAACAACGTGATCGAGTATGGTGATGTACAGAACATCAGAACATCAGAATAAAGCACACAAATTCTCACAGATAATGGCATTAAGAGAAGATGAACGTACGAGAGATGAACAGAAAAAAAACACACGAGAAAATATGAGCGATACACACATAAATCCAATCCGAAAATAATAATATGTAATAATGAAAATATAATAACTGCGAAAATGTAATAACACCGCACTCAGTGTGTGTGATATACACACATAGCGAATACAGACTCTTCAGCGCCGAGGAGATGCAATATGGCTCTCTCAAAAAGAATGAGATGAAAAATGAAAGCATGAAAAATATTGTCTGTACAATAAAGTAACCGAATTCAGTGTGAGCGGGTGTGTGTGCGTGCGCGCGCGCGTGAGCGAACTCTTTTTCACTCCTTATAAATGCGCATCACACAAACAACACAGCACACACCGTCAGCGACGCGAGATATCAGCGACTGAAGGAATGAATTAAAATATTAGTGAAGTGGTATCGCTAATTTTGATCAGATTTATTCCGTTGCTATCATTATTAGTGCGAGAGAGTTGTTGTGCTCTTTCTCTTTGTTCTGATTTGACTTTGGGGCAATTTCGGTTACGTACAGCTCATTTTTTTCATTCTTTTGGCTGCATGACGTTTTTTTTCGTATTGCTCTCTCTCTCTCTCTCGTCTTCGAAAGCATGATCGGAATTCTTTTGCATTCTTTTCGTTTGCTATTGCTCTTGCTTATTTTCATCATTGTTATGATTTGTTCGTGTATATGAGCAGAATTAATTCGTCGCGAATTCAGAATTACTCAAGAGACATTGCTACGGTGGAATAGCCAAAATATGAAGGTGAATAAACAGATAAACTACATTAGCAGCCAATTCTTTGTTTGTGTATACAAAACGAATGAGTCAGTTGATTTGAGTCAATTGTAAATCTGCACACCCACACATCCAATCGATGAGAACAATTACACAATTTTTTTTTCTCTTTCTGGATTTCGTTTCGTTTATGTTTTGTTGCTGTTGTTTGATTGAAAATAAATCACAACAAAAGAAATTTTCTGAGTCGAACGAAGAAACGTTCGAATGAAAACATTCAAACAAATAATAATAATAACAACAACACACACACACACACCACTCGCGATTGAACAAACGAAAATCAATCTCAATCATTTAAGTGCAATCGCAAATTCTAGTTTGCAATTTGATTTCCACCGGCGATGACTATCGCACAATTAACTAATATCTACTATATAATTTCAACTACAATTGATCGATGGTTTCGATGCATTTTTCTGCAGATTGACTTTTATAATAGATCGAGTAAATGTTTCTGTTTTTTGTGTGTGTGTAGATTATCTGTGCTTGTTGTGATTTTTTTTCTCTTCTCGATATTCTCTCCGCGAGCGATAATGCAATCAACTACATTGCATATATTTCGTTATTTTTTTTTTCTAGTTGTGTTGTTCTCATCGATCGGACCTTTCTTCTCTGAAATATTCACATTTTGATAAATATCAAAGCGATTGTGCCCTGCACAATCGGCCAATTTCTTTGGCTGTGAAAAATAGGAAACGAGCAAAAAATGTTAATTTCAACTGAATTTATGAGAGAATTTGCATTGCGGTTTTGCCAATTAAAGCCGCCAATTGCGCGAACTGCATGAGTCAGTTTGATTTGTCACTTCGAGGGAAATTCGACGAATTTAAAGCAATCATATTCTCTCTTTTTTTTGTTTCTTGCGCGGTTATTGTTATTTTCATCTATGTAAAAACTTATTTTCGGCTAGTCGCTGCGCGAAGCGATCATACTGTGTTGTTGTTATTATTATAGTTGTTCTTTTTTTTTCGGGTAAAAATCCATAGCGTTCAAAATCACGAAAATTTATGGTTCGATAGGCGACGATGATACAAACAATTGATTCAAATTCCTTAGCATATTGCTTTTGCATGTTATTTTTTTTCTCTCTCGTCTTAAATTCATTTTCATGCTTGTTCTCATTCTCATTCTCGATGGTTTGTGTAATTTCTGTGTGTGAGATCTCATCCACACTTGCATTAAATATGGATCCAATTGACTTGATCTCGGCATGCGTAAGATATTCGTTTTTAATCGAACCAAAAAGCATTTATTTTCCTTAAGTTTTTGCTTGAAAATTAAAAAAAAAAAACAGCCAAAAATAAAAGAAAAGAAAAACGAGAAATAAGAGCGACGAGTAAAAATTCGTCTTTTCCCGTGCTTCTAATTATAATGGATCGCACTCACGTACTGAGCATGAGATTATTTCATTGAATGGCCAAACAATCACGAGGCCAGAATGAATAACAACAGAAACAAAAATTAAGAATAAAAAAAGCAGCAGCAACAACAACAACAGCTCTTTCTACAAGAAAAGAAGAAGAATCACGAAATCAGGAGCCAATGAAGATTATACTTGTTTATTACAATTATTAAAATGAGGTTTTTTTCCCGGTTTCACTGTGTCTCGCTGGCGATCTAGTGGATTTTTGTTTTATTTTGTTTGGTTCATAATCGTCAAGGGCCAATGAAACGTATTGAGACACACACATCTATATATATATATATATCGAATGAGAAATGGTGATGTGAACAATGTAAATTCATTTATGCTTGACTTCGTTACAGTTTGATACGCAAATCAAAATCAATCTCAATAAAAATTATGAAACTAGCCTATAAAGTACGAGCGAAAGAGTGAGCTGAAATGATAGAAGGGGATATGATGAGCGCAAAACAATTCACAACCAAATCGAAGCAATCCAAACTGAAATGGAAATATCTTGAGAATTAAAATAAATTGAATGTAATGATATAATACGGATTGAGAGAGCGTACAGCGGCTCTTCACCGAATGGAAAATATAATCTCATGTACGCGGTGCGATGTGCGCGCGATATATGTGCGCGTATGAACGTTTTATCATTGGATTGGCTCACCGTGAACTACAACTACATGCCGAGTCAAACAAACGAGAGCATACATTTTATTCCATTATATTAAAAATAATTGACGCAAAGGTGGAAACACCACTCGTTCGAATCGCACATTGTATATAAAAGTATAGTTAATTTTCCTGAGAACGAGCCACTTCTTTTCTCTCTTTTTTTGGATTTATTTATTTATAAACTAACCAAAATATAAAACGGTAACAATGGCAATGAACGAATGTAACATATTTTTTGTGGTTTTCATTACACGAAACGCATTTTTTTAACCACAAAGTTGTGTATGTGTGTCTTGTGGAAAACCGAAATAAAAATTATCGGATAGAAATAAAATTGTACGTATAGTCTTTCTTTCGATATATTACTACAGCATATTTGTTGTTAATTTACTGTCATCGTTGTTGTTGTTGTTGCTGGAAATTGAACACAGCAATTGACTCTATCGTTCCGTAAAGTGTGTATGGGTTTAATTTTAATTTTTATGTTGCCCCACAAAATAAAGAGAAAAAAAACACAATCCATATTCAAATTATATGTTTCGGTAAATCGACAATCAAGAAACCGAGAGAGCGAGAATGCGAGAGAGAGAGAGAGAGAGATAAAAAGAGCAAGATCGTTATTTGAACATTTGCACAACGCAGAGAAATGCAAAAGAGAAGTAGTAGTGAGATTATATATTATATATGTTGCTATTGTTGAATTTATCATAGATGAAAATTGGGTGAAATTAATGCCAAAATGCATAAATGTAAGTTAACATAAGGTGAATTGAAACGCCAACATCATTATCACCAAATATGGAATAAAAGAATCTGAGATTTCCGAACCGTCGATTGAACGAACGGCGTTCTCAAAACGAAAGAAATGAAATAAACTTTCAACTTACCAGATTCGGTGATTGTGAACACGTCCGTTAATTCCAATGAGTCCAAATTTTCTTTAGCACGTTGCATACAGATTAAATGCTCGATTTGCATGTGTTGGAAGCTTTTCACATGCTGCACCATTCCCAAAATGTGGTTCGCTTTAAAGTTGCACAATTGACACATGATTACTTTGTTATTGTTGTTGCTGTTGTTGTTATTATTATTGTTGTTGGTTGTCGCTGATTGAGTTTGTGACGATGCACTGTTGTTGTTATCGGTATTTTCTTTGGTAGACGTATCGATTAAATCGTCAGTACTTTTGACACTGATCGCCGTGATTCCTGTCGCACTATCTTTGGCCGTATCATTTAGTTCATCTGCACTTTTCACGCTGATCGTTTGATTTGTCGCATTTTCTGTTCCTTCATTTTGTTGTGTTTCGCCATCGTTCGACTGATGTGAATCGGTTGTTGCATTGTCAATCGAACCGATCGCATCAACATTATCCGATGATTCATTCAATTTATCGATTGAATCGTGTGCATCATCGTTTGTCGCATTTTTCGGTGTGTCAATTGATGTTTTTGCATCGTTGTTATCATTCGATAATGATGACGTGGATACGGTCACCATTGTTGACACCAAATGATTGAAAATGATTTTCATGCTTTCGTGTCGCATATTTTGCGAGTGTAAATTCAATTTTTGAATTGAATTCGTGTAATAATCACAACAATTACACTTCAACTGCACCGTATTGTTACTATTATAGTTTATTTTGTACTCGTTACTTGTTCCACCCTCCTTGATATGATTGATATAGTTGAGTTTTTGTATGTGCTTATCAGTTTTGCTGTGCAATTGAAAATTGGCCTTCAATGTTGTCCTGTAATTGCACAAACGACATACATAAGTCGGTTGGTGTTGTGATTTATTCGTTTCGTTGATAATCAACATAACATCTTGTTGATTTTGTCGCGATCGATCGATTAGTAAATGTTGATTGAGCTCTTCGATTTGATTGGTATTGAAATTGGCGCAAATGAGACAACTGTACATCGTTGTCGGATACAAATCCGTTTCAATTGGTGGCTCAAATGTATCGGGATTTAAACCAAAATCAGATTCAAGACCAGCACTTGAAATAGCACCGGCCGCTGCTGCTGCTGCTGCTGCTGCCGCCGCCGCCGATGTATTTGAATTATTTGAGCTTGCAACGGGCGAGATTCCATTTCCATTAGGATTTAAAAGCGGTGCGCTTGCATTTGTTGCATTCGCCGTTGCATTGGCCAATGGATTTTGAGCAGCTGTCAATGCTGCCGCTGATGGATTTCGATGATTTAGCAATTGAAAGACAAGTGCTTGATTGTACGCTAAATCGGCCAATGCCGCTTCTGGTAAAAATGACTGCATATTCGATAAATTACTTAGATTTTGTGCGACAGCCAAATGTTGCTGCTATTGAAATGATAAGAGAACGAGGGAAAAAACAGGTGAGAATAATTGAAATGACATCGATTTTTGGACATACTTCGTTAAATCTCTCTTCCGTTAATAAAAATCGTTTGTATGCACTGCCTACACTAATCATAGTTAGAAAATTACCTGTTGCTGTTGTTGTTGCTGTTGCAATGAAAGTGATGGTAATGCTGGTAATTGTGGCAATCCAGTTGACAGACCAGCGGCTGCTTGGCTTTGCTGTTGCAAGAAACCTAACGCTTGCAAATGCTTGATATTGTTCTCCAATACAGCCTGAAAGTTCAAGATATTCGAAAGGGAGAGAGAAAAAAAAACAATGCAAACTTATTAAATATTTTCCATAGATTGAAATTTTCTTTAGTCGCTACAAAAAAAAACACACTAATTCAAATCCAATTCATATCATTTGTTTGCAGATGAGACAGACAGAGAAATTCAGAAAGACAGACAGACAAAAGAGTCAAGAGAGAATTTTCAGTTTTTTTTTTTGTCATGAAACACAACACTCACCATATTGTGTGTATGCTTTTCGCTAGTCCAATGGATTCGCAAATTCCGCGCAACACTTGTTTCATATGAACAAACGCCGCAGCGGAACGATGCTTTTGGCTTATTTGAATTGGACAGATTTTGAGCTGCAGCCAACTGTTGTTGCTGCAAATAGGCAAACAAGTGTGAATCATCGAATTAGAATATAAAAAACACGAAATTCATCGATACATTTGTTTCATTTGTTTTGCATTTTTTTGTTGTTGTAAAGGGGGACTATGTATGTTATATTAATGTGTTAAAAATACGGATCTAATGAATAAGAATTGCCTACCTGAGCTTGTTGCTGTTGCTGTGTTTGCTGTTGATTTTGTTGATTTTGTTGTTGTTGCAAATTTGGCAATAAGATTTTTGGACTATCACGAATATCACCAGCACCTGAATTGGTCGTTCCGCTTGGAACGTTCGCACTCAGTGATGAGTTATTATTTAAATTTTGTGAATTACTCAATTCTTGCATGTTGTTCAAGTGCTTATCACTTTGCATATGGATCGACAAATTGCCTTTCGTTGTCGTCGAATAGTTACAGATATCACAACGGTACGGTTTGTAGCCGCAAGTATAAGATTCGCCGCGTGCTAAACGTGGATGTTGCTGGCCTAAATATAGACAAGCACCAAACGTATACAAAATAATAAAAATTAAATTACAAAATAGAGCAATTGCACGGAACGCATTTTTATTTTTTTTTTCATTTAAAAAGTGTTTTCTTTTTTTGGTTTTCGTTAAATTACCTGCTAAACAATATCCACAAGCACTTTCGCCGTCTGGATGCTTTTCACGCATGTGAATTTCCAGTGTTTCTTGATATTTGTAATGCCAATTACACTGTGGGCATTTCAGTGTTTTGCAAGAATTTCGCGTCGATATTTGTGCACCGGTATTCAATCGAGCCGAATTCAAAATAAGCTCGCATCTATAGATTTTCATGCCAAACGATAAATTTTGTTCAATTTTCATTTTTTTCAACGAGTTTGATGATAAATGTTAATTTTTCAAGAGTGACCAAGAAACACAACGATATAAGCGATAGGATTTAAAATGTACATACCTTGAACAATCGACTCCAAATGGTCTACCGTTCACATGTTCCGGACATGCACCAATTGTAAAACTAGGTGCTGGTTGACTTGTTGGTGATATGGTTAATGGTATGGTATCAGGTGGTGAAGTAGAAGCTATGAAAATCAAAACAATTTCGATGTCATTGATTTAAACCGAAATGTTTTCCATTTGTCAATGTTTTCTTAAATCGATTTTGGTTTCGTACCTGGTTCACGTTTTTGAGCTGGTTGCTGTGAATAATCGGTAATGTTTCCGTTGCCGTTTGGTGATTTGCTCGGAGTTCTTGGCAATCTTATGCTATCAGTTCCAATTCCATAAAAACTACACTCCAGCAATTCACAAGTCTTGCAATCGACACCTTTTCCATTCGGATGTTCGGGACAACCAGATTGTGCAGCCTGTCGAAGTTGATTCAATTGCTGTTGCTGCAGAAATGGAGCGAGCAATGAGGAAGTAAGCCGCTGTTGATGAATAAACACAACGAATTCATTTTTATTATTGTCGCATCTTAACGTTTCGGATACAATTGAGCTCTTTTTGAAGCCCTTTATGAAAGCCCTTTAATGGTGTATAATTGTTTCAATTTCGAAGTTGCTTACCTGCTGTTGTTGTTGTTGACTAATTAGATCATTTAGCGTTTTGCTGGCTGCACTGGCCGTTGAAACCGACATACCGACTAAACTGTTATTATTGCTATAAACAAATTGTTTTACATTAAATTAACCCGAAAGCATGAATGATTGGTAGAAAAAAGAAGAAATATTGAGGTGGACTCTTACGATTTCAGTGGGGATTCGTCGAATAGTTGTCGTGATTGCGATTGCGAATGAGGTGTAATCAACGGCGAAGAGGTGAGCTGAGGCTGTCATAAATGGAATATGTAATTTCGATCGAAGAATTGAAGTGTGTCTTGTTAATTTTGTTTTACCTGTTGTTTTTGCTGATCTTCAGTTAGTGATTCAACTGATGAGGAGAGTTCAGTACTATCGGAGAGATTATTTCGTCGTTGCTTCCGTTCGTCTATTAGATCGGTCGAATGATGCAGATGCTGGGCACTTAAATCATCTGCATCACTGTTGATCGTATGAGACTTTGACTGTGTATCCTTCTGTGGTTGCCTGTAATTTTTTTTTTTTAATTTCCATTTGGTCAGTGGCCATTTTTCTGGTTGTATTTCATTGTATTTGGTACGAAATCAATAAACTTACGTTGATCCAAGCGGTTGCAAAAACGATATTTGAGGCTTTTCGTCAATGTTCCGTTGTATAATGGCACTCGAATACTCTCGATTTAGTAAATTCTTTTCGTTTTCTTGTAAATTTAATGTATGCTCGGTATTTGCATGCAAACCAAACGATTTCGTATTTCCAAAGCTTAATTTACATATAAAACACATAAGTATTGGTTTTGTTATTTTGGCCGCTGATGATGCCGTCTTTGCATCTAAATTATTGCCAGCCGATGATCCACTACTGAGCTGCGTTACTGTGCTGTCAACAGCACCGCTCGATGGTATTAAACATTGAGCATCAATTGCTGATACAACACGAAAGGAATGAATTTTTGGATTATTTGGCGTCACTGGCAAATGAACACCTTCTGCAAATGAGCAAAAAAAAAGACACATATCGACATTCCAATGCAATTAATTAACCATTTGCACGAAATTACAAAGGTATAAAAAAAGGGCCAATTAATGATTTATGATTATTATTTTTTCAATCAATGTGTGGGCTCTGTATGTGTGTTTGTGAAAGAGCGCACACAAATTTATTGCCGAAAAAAAAACGAGTGGCACGCATAATAAAATTAATTGAATGGCGAATCTCAAATGAAATGTAATTAATTTTGAATTTACATTTAGCGATAAAGTTTGTATATAAAACCTATAAAATATATCTATAACAGCACATACCTGATGCACAATTGTCGGCCGATGAAATATTTGACAAGGATTCGTTTTCTGAATCAATTATATATGCACTGCCATCCGGATTGTAAACGATTTTACCTTGGAAACTTTCGACATCTGAACAAGATAATGGAGACGCGTCGTCTGAATCAAATTCCTATATTTGGATGCGACAAGACAAACGATCATTTTATATCGCGACCGTCAACAACGTATATATGTGCGTGTGCAACAAGCAAAATGCCCAAAATCATTCCGTTGCAGCGCAAATATAACAACGCCAACGAGCAGGAGCGTAAATGAAAAGAAAGAGAAAAAAGTGAAGAAAAAAAATTAATGGAAAATGATTATAATTCATATATTATTAATATAAATGATGTGTTAGACTCTTATTGCAATTTATTGCTTTATTCAATTTGGTTGTCCCTCTTTTCCTTTCTCTCTCTGTCTCTATCTGTCGGAGAATATATTCAACGGAAATTGTTTAAGATATTTTGTTGCAAAGCTCTGTCCCGGTGCAAGATTGGTGCGATTGATAATGCTAGTGATTCGAAACTGCGACCCGATATACACACACTTAAAAGCGATACCATTGTCATATAAATTCCCCCCTCCCTCTCTCCACAATCATACTGCATATTAAGTATGTTTTCTTCCCTACACTTTGTAGTCTTCTTCTGTTTGCCGCTGTTTCGTGCATAAATTATATGAATTTTTAATTATTAAAATCGTTTGCGCCCAAACGCAAGCACCGAGCACAATAATAGCGAAGCAAAAAAAAAGTGAGAATAAATGGCTTAACCAAAAGAATGAGAAAGCACAAAAAATTACAACAAGGAATATATCGATATTAAGGAAAAATAAGAGGGTGCGATAATGCCTCGTTTAATGTTCGATAACCGAAAGTCGTCGAAATGAAAATGTGTGTATGTACCGTTCATATTATGTGTGGGATGCTTTAAAAAAAAGACAAAACAACGAAAAAATAAAATGAGAGAGAAAAAAATCCGACAAGGAAATTTAAGAGTATGAGAATAGAATGAGAGTGGAAAAAAATGTATCGAAGTCGAAGTGGTTGGTAATTTGAAAATTGCGGGAGCTCAATTTAATGTGACCAGCGTGTGCTAATAAGTGTGAAATAAATGTAATCTAAGTAAATACACACACACACACTGATGAACATTACACCGAATACGCGGTTGTCGCCACAACTAAACAATTCGACTGACATTCGAAGAATTTGAACAGTTGAATGCTAGTCCGTGAATGCATGAATCGGTAAAATGGATAGAGAGGAAATCGCAGCCGGTGTCTGAACGGCACACTTATAGATATAAAAAAAAAGAGATGCAATTCAACATTTGTACAGAGTGAGAGAAAAAAAAAACGTAGGAAAAATTTAATTGGTACAGTTTGTATGCGTGGTGTCAATTGGATTGCTTTTCTCTTCTTTCCTACAAAGCGTGTAATTGAAAATATAACGCGGATTTTTTTTTGTTCATTCACGCCGCCCGTTCCTCTTCTTCTTCCATTCGTTTATCTCAATCTCAGTCGATGAGTGTTTGGTTCTGGATGTTCAATTCTCTGTTTTATTTTGTCGATTCTCGTTCAGCGCTCAAGCCGATGGGTAAATTTAATGTTCCATTTGCTCGAATGCATTCCAATTGTGTTTTTGGGTGTGAAAATGTTGTTGCCCGTGCGGCAAGCAAAAGCATGCGAAACACCAAATAAAAATTGTTTCACATACACACCGCATACGATCAACTCAATTCAAATGTTCATTTCCTCTTATTTTTTCGAGGGTTTTTACGTTTTTTTTTTGCTGTTGTTGTAAATGTGGTAGTTGCTTTTTTCATCCGTGCTGATTGAAAAATGGAAAAACGGCAAAAAACGGAAAAAACTAAAGAAAGAATGCTACCGTCACTTTTTTCGATTTACCAAAATGGTCATAAACAAGAATCAGTACAACCCCATCGTTATCAAAAAAAAAAGACGAATCGTGATTACACGTTCATTGTCACCTATAATTTCTGAATTGCATTCTATTTTTGTTGGTTCCGAACAATCGACAGTAGAGCTGCTGTGAATTTTCCGCATGCTCAGATATCACTTTCACACACTGCGTCAATTCCACAATCGCCTCAGATGTTCGCATTGCAATAATAAACAAGAACAGTGGCAATGACAAACAATCGAAAAAGGTGCAATTAAATATTCAGTCAACCGCTTCTTTCGAATCGAATTTTTAAAATGAAGATTAAAAAAAAAACGGAGTCGTATCCGTGACATATGAGCATATGCCCCTTTTGTTTGTTCAACTTGAATTTGAAAGAGATAGAGAGGACGAGTATTTGATTCTAGTGTCTTTAGTTGGTCTAAATAACGATAATTTTCTACTAGATTTTATAGTAAACCAATTGTTTTTTAACTTCTGGTTTTTTTAAATCAGCCAATAGCTATTGTCTGTGCGGATTTTCAACAGAGAATCTCTTTCTCTTCGCTTTGTCTTTATAGTGGCCGCGTCGATATTCTCTGAATCTCATGAAGGGCTTTTCTGGTTTGAAACAGGTTTTCATTATTATGTCTATTACTTGATCGCATATAGCATGTATTAACATGATAAATTTGTAATTGTGCCCTGCTAAGTGTGTATAGAAATTCCACGAAAAGCAAAACAAAAGACCATGGATAAAAACGTCACACAACGCCGCCGTACTCGTCGTCATCGTCGGTTTTTCCATTTGGGGTTAATCAACATGAAAACTTCTGGTTGGGAGAGCGGGCAAACGATTAAATGGTTGTTTCAGTAGCATAAAAACGACCGATAAAATTGACATTGTCAAGAGTGGTGGTGCTGTTGTTGTTGCTGATGTTGTTGTTTTCGTTGTCGTCATCATCAGCGTCAATCGTGAATAGGGTACGAAATACCGTAAAGGAATCAGGATATGAGAATCGAATGATGGAATAGTACCCAATTCTCGCCTCAATCGAGCGGCAATTTCGACGTGATTTAACGTACACAATGCATATCAACAAGTTGAGTTGAGAGAGACTTTTTTGTTTGCCATCATATTCTTTTATTTCGATTGTTTTGTGTTTTTCCGTATCGGATTTCAACGTGAAATGGTTTTGCGTAGAATTGCTAACACAACAACGCAACCAATTTGGTTTTAATGTGAAATAATGGAAAATGGAATGAAAAAAATCAAACATCATTCGAGAGTGGCGACAATTCAACACGTTTCACACAGCTTCATTTTAATTAGTTTTTCGAAGGTAAAGACAAAAGTTAAATGTACGGTTGTGCGATCGCATTTTGAAATCGGTTTGGAAAACACTGCAGTGTTATATTGTTTGGAGGCAGAAAAACAATCGAGAAAAAACAGTTGCTTTCACCTCTTTTTTTTTTCAATGTCTGCTGTCAATTAAAATAATAGTTTTGAGCGAAATGTGCCACTTATTTGATGTACTATCACCATAATTTGCCTGTCTGCATAGACATAGGCGTTCTACGAACAACCGTATATCCTGACTTATGCGATAGGATACGCATTTGTTGCACAATGTTTGTTTATTTCATTGTTCTCTCAACACTCGGCTTATTCTCGCTCTCTCGCTCTTAGTTGAGTGCATTTTTAACTGTTTTAAGTATTATTTGTTATTTTCCGCGTAGGAAAAAAAACACGGAAGGGTTGCACACACCACACCATGCATTCTGTTTAATACAATCGACTGAGCACCACACAATCTTTACGAAATTCGTTTAGGCATACATTATGTGTACATGCATTTTCATAGATGAAGTGAAAAATATCATGTTTTAATTGAATAGTTTTGTTCGTTAAATAAAGTATCACCCATTTGCTCGTTCGTTGCATTTTATCATCGTCTTCATCACACTATATTGATGATGACCTGAATGGACAAACAAACAAAACGCATACAAGCACGTTTAAATGCGTAAATAGAAAATGCACACGCAATCGTCGGTTATTCATATCGTGTATCGTAAATAGGAAGACTCGTTTTAACGCGGGGCACGCATAAAATCTCGACACTGCTCATAATTAATACGCACGCATATACATGTAACATACATAGTTCTTTCACTCTCATCAGACTGTGGTGCATATTCATAAATGAAACGGGAATGAAACGTCAACGGATCATAAATGGCTTATTTGTTCGTACAGCAAAATATACATTTGCTGTTACACACAGACATTTCGACTCCTTTGTTGGCTGTATGATTTCATACACATTTTCTATTTCTTCGACTAACCGATTTCTTCATGTCGCTGCTGGTTCTCTTTTTTCTTCGCTCATTTGCCTTTGTTCAAGCATTATAATTTTACTTTCCTCGAACTATGTTCGATTTGCACGATTGGATTTAATATCGAAAGATAGAGTGAGGTGGGTATAGACAAACGGCTAAATAGAAAGAACATAAATGAAATATCATAGCAAGCGTGCACATAACATGTATCCTTTATTGGTGATTGCGTATTTTAAATATATGCAATGTGATTCGGAATGGAATCGTTCGACATGTCGCACTGTTCATTTTGTAAACCATCATCATTGACGGTACACACACTTACATAAACTGTGTCTTCGTCTTGGTCTCGATAATCGTGACTTATGGTGAATTACTCACTGCCTAGCCCGATTGCATATGTGTTCTCAACAACAGAAATAATACATGTACGAACATGATTTATTTCAAATAGTTTCATCGCTTTTTGGGATGATTCTCTAATAGAGAGCAGCAAAAATGAACGAACGATAGTGAGAGACAATCGAGGCCCATACTCAATTTTATTACGTTTGCAATTCGAAAATTTTGTATGCGCTCGGCAACGGCAAAGCACACATATTTTGCCACGATATGGCGTGTATCGAGACACTCTCTTTCCTTCGCTCTCTCGCTCTCTCACTCTCGACGAAGACGATGATGGCAGGCAGGCTAAAGAAAATTTAATATTAAAAAGCGTGAATGTTGCCCGAGCTGGTTTCTTGTGAGTGAAAATGTCATGATTCCTTGCATTGTTTTCTATTGTAACTATACAAGCGTGTATGTGTACGGCGTGGTTTTTTCCTGTTCTTTCTGTTCGATAAACTTGTACATTTAACGCGATCGAAAAACAATAGCACGTT